GAAATGATTGACATAGAAAATGGGTCGATGGGGTTAGGTCTGTTGGAGTCAGTGAGTCTGGCTGGCTCAGGTTAGGCAGGGTTCAAAGATATTGTGCAGTGGGTGGCTATAAGTCATGGATGACTCGATGACACGTAACAACAACATACTGTGACTCTGTCTCAATGCGTTTTCTATTGAAGTTGGTTTCTCTTTACTTGTGTATGTTGCCTTCTGGATCTCAAATTGGCCACTTTGCTCTGGTGACCTGGTGGTCAGGGAGCTGCATTGCCAACCTAAAGGCACTCAGTTGAATTCATCAGTTGCTCTGTGGGAGAAAGATGGCAGTCTCCTACCACATTCAGACTGCCTCTGAAAACCTTCTGGAGGATTAACTATGAGTCAGTTCTGCTTTTACAGCACACAACAAAAACAACAGTACTGGGCTCTACTCGATTGCTCTCCTCAACCATTGTTTTAATTCCATCTCCCTTTCATTTGGTGTTTTAATCTAATCTTTTATCCTCTCATTTGATATTGGGAACTCTGGTGGCTTAGTGGCAAGAAGTTGCACTGCAATCCCCAAGGTACACGGTACGAAGAAAGTCAGCTGTGAGTGACCTCTCAAGAGTACTGAAGAACAACGATGTCGGGTTGGAGACCAAGGTGTACCTGATCCAGGCTATAGTCTTTGCCATTACCTGCTATGCATCAGAGAGTTGGACAATGAATAGGAATGGTAGAAAGGGAATTGATGCCTTTGAGCTGTGGTGCTGGAGAAGAGTGTTGAATATACCATGGACTGCTAGGAGAACAAACAGGTTTGTCCTGGAGAGGGTGAAGCCAGAATGCTCCTTGGAGGCAAGGATTCTGAAGCTTCATCTGGCATACTTTGGGCATGTTGCAAGGAGGGACTGGTCCTTGGAGAGGGATACCATGTTTGGGAGAGTGGAGGGACGGCGCAGGAGAGGAAGACCCTCGATGAGATGGATCGATTCTGTGAGTGGAGTGGTGGGAATGAGTGTGTTTGAGACAGTGAGGCTGGCACCGGATAGAATGGTGTTTAGGGCTCTTGTACATAGGGTTATGAGTCGCAAGTGACTAGATGACACAAAACAACATTTGATATTCATATTTCTCAGATAATAATCTTTATCCCACTCAAGTTTTCAAGTTTATATTGTAGAGAAATTGAGTAGAATGTATCACAAGGATATTATATTTTTTGTTGTTTAAAATTGTTGTCCAGTTGGCTTCCAACTCATAGTGCCTCCGTATGTTAGTGAATAAAACTTCTCTGGTTTCTCTTGGGAGTAATCTTTACAGAAGCAGATTGTCAAAGCTTTTTTTTTTAAATCATGGAACTTCTTTTGGGTGGGTTTAAACCATCAATCTTTTAGAGAACAGCTGATTGAAAACCACTTGTGCTACTGTTTGTCTGCCCTGTAGTCAGTCAGCACCTGGCCTGGCTTGCACAGCTGGTATTGCGCTTCTCTGATGATTCATTCCACAGATGTAGTCAATCTGATTCATGTGCAGTCCATGTGTATAGTTGCCATTTGTGGTATTTTTTAATAGCATTTGCAATTAATAAATCATTGCACAAAATCCAATCATTCTATTGCCAGTGTAATTTCTGTAACCAAGTTCATAATTTCGGATTACCAGTCCTAACTTCCAGTCACCAATTATCACTAATTAATCCATCTCACATATTTTGGGTATGTTGTCAGGAGGGGCCAGTTCTTGGAGAAGGACATTGTGCTTGGAAAAGTGGAGTTTCAGCACAAGAGAGGAAGACCCTTACTGAGATGGATTAACACAGTGGCTGTAATATTGGGATCAAGTGAGTTGAAAATGGTGAGTTTGTTTAGGATAGGACAAGGTTCAGAGCTGTTGCTTGTTTGTTTGTTGTTTGTTGTTCATAGTCAACTCAATGGCATATAACAACAACAATTGTGCTATTGAGGCTCAGTATGTAATAGTAGTCTCATAAACTTTCTGGAAAAAAACACAGTTTGAGGACAAACACCAATAAACAATCCAAAGGGTATAACTGATCATATTAAGGCATATCATCATGTGTTTCAGTACACATGGTAACAAAGAGAAGATAAAAGTAGGTCTTATACAATGGATGAAGAATCAGATACAGCAACATAGGAAGCCAAAATACAATGTGTAGTATTTATCTTCAGATTCTCAGGGAAAATGACTTTCACTATAGAATCCTATGCCCAACTAAGTTCAAGTGTTAGACTTTGAAATAAAGATAATTATAGCCATAAAAAGTAAAAAATACTTATCTCACCCACAAAAAAAGAAATTAAAAAAAATAGTTATCTCTCACGTGCCCTTTCACAGAAAACTACTAAAGCTGTATTACACAAAACCAAGTTTGTGAATAAAAAAACAAACAAACAAAACTCCAAAACTGGGCTTTAGGAAATGGAATCAAATACAAGTCAAAAGTGAAAAGAATCCCTTCAGAGCTGTCATGGAGACCTCCACATGACATCAGGATTGGGGACACCAGTACAGATATTACTGATCTGGGATTGCTTCCTTAAGGCGAAACTGAACACACAGTGAATTAATACTAATATTTTAAAAGAATATTAAGAAATCTGAGGGGAAGTTTGAGGTTTAATATAAATGCATAGAAAACTAAACAAATAGAAGGAGGGAGAAATTTTAAATTCCATGGGGGAAAAAATGATAAGTGCTTAGAGTATATACTGTATGGCTTGATTCACAATACAGCTGTTTTTGGTATGTGCCATCCAGTAGCCTGAAACCCTTTGTACCTTATGTGCAGCAGCTAGCTTGCCCTGTCTTGAGCCAGTCTCATGAATTCCAACCCCCATTATCCCAGTTACTGTATCAATCTATCTCATCCGGAGTCCTCCTCTCTGAGCATGATGTCCTTCTCCAAGGACTGGTCCCTCCTGCGATGTGCCTGAAGTATGTGAGATGGAGGTTCAAAATCCCAGCCTCCAAAGATAAATTTGGTTTCACCCTCTCCAAGACAGACCTCTTTGTTTTCTTGGCAGTCATGACTCTTCTCCAGCACCACAATTCAAAGGTATCGATTCTTCTTCTGTCAACTTTAGTTATTGTCCAGCTCTCTGATGCAGAACAAGTAATGGCAAAGATCATGGCCCGGATTAGGTGCATCTTAGTCTCTAGACTGACATCATTGCTTTTAAGTACTCTGGAGTGGTCCCTGACTTTCCCAATGCAATTCATTTTTTGGTTTTCTGCTAGTGCCAAGAGCGTTGATTGTGGAGCTGAGCAAGCCAAGGTTGTTAATAACCTCAATCTCTACTCCATCTATCAGGGTGTTTCCAATTGGACTAGTAGTCCAAGAAGACTTTGTCTTCTTGATGTTGAGCTTCAGTCCGTATTGAAGACTACAGTCCTTGACCTTCTGCAGCAAGAGTTTCAGGTCCTCCTCAGTTTCAGCAAGCAAGGTTGTGTTATCTGCATAATGTAGGTTGTTGATGAGTCTTCCTCCAATTCTGGTACCACATTCCTCCTCATAAAGCCCTGTTTCCCAAATGATCTGTTCTGCATATAGATTGAAAAGGTATGGTGACAGGACACATCCCTAATGCACTCCTTTCCCCATTCTGAACGATGCAATGTTTCCTTGCTTTGTTCTGAGGACTGATTCCTGATCCAAGTATAGGTTTCGCATAAGCACAATCCAGTGTTCTGGGATTCTCATTTCCCTCAAGGTTAGCCACAATTTGTTGATGCACACAGTCAAAAGCCTTTACATAGTCAATGAAACACAGATAGACGTTCCTCTGGTGCTTTTTGCTTTCTGCCAAGATCCATCTGACATTGATGATAATGTCTTTGGTGCCATGATCTCTTCTAAACCCAGCTTGTAATTCTGGGAGTTCTCTGTCAATGTACTGTCCAATTTTTTTCTGGATAATCTTTTAGCAGGATTTTGCTAGCTTGTGATATTAGTGATGTTGCTAGATAATTTCCATACTTTTGGGTCACCTTTTTTGGAATGGGAATAAATATGGATCTCTTCCAGTCAGTTGACAGGTAGTTGTTCTCCACATTTCTTTCCATTACCTAGTGAGCACATCCAAGCAGTATTTGTTTGTTGAAATATGTCAATTGGTATTCCATCAATTCTTTGGGCTTTATTTTTTGCCAAGTACTTCAAAGTAGCCTAAACTTCCTCCTTCATCATCATTGCCTCTTAACCATATGTTGTTTCTTTAAATTCTTCTGGATCAGCCAATTCTGTTTGGTACAGTGACTCTATACACGCTTTCTATCTTCTTTTAATGCTTTTTTAATCATTCAATATTCTGCCCATAGTATCCTTAAGCTTTGAAACTCATGGCTTGAACTTTTCTTTAGTTCCTTTAGTTTAAAAAAAGGTTAAGCTAGTTTGGCCCTTTTTATTTTCTTACTCCAGCTCCTTGTACATTTCATTATAATATTTTGCCTTGTCTTCTTGAGCTGCCCTTTAAAAACTTCCGTTCAGCTCCTTAACTTCATAATTTCTTCCCTTTGCTTTGGCTTCTCAGCGCTCTAGTAGTAATAACAAATTAAACTTTGCAGGTTAATCTCAAAATTAGGATTTGACAATGTTGGAAAGAAAGACAAGAAGTATGTTTATATATGTTGAGGATTACATAGTAAGAAGTTAATAGGTAATGATTAAAATTTTAATTCAAGAGCAGTATGGTCTACTGATATTTTACAAAGATGCAAATTTCATTTGATGAGGAAATAAGAATCTCTTCAAGACATAGTTTTTGGAAAATTGGATTTTTACATAAGGGATTCATACCTCACATCACATACAAAACAATTTAAAAATAGATCATAGACCTAAATGTGCAAAGAAAAAGCATAAAATTCTTAGATGAAAATGTATGGGCAATATTTTTGGGCCTAGTTTTTGACAATAAATTATCTAACATAATAATAAAACATAGACAGAGAGGCAAACAATAATATTAAAACATAAACATTAAAATTAAAACCTTTTTTTTCCCCATGGCTCGGGGCTTGACCAGGAACCTCTGGAGACGCAAAGGCCAGCATCCTGGCGTCCTGGGCCTTGTAGCATGTTAACCACGATGATAATGGTTCCTGGACTACATGTGGTAGGCACTGCTGAGTGCTTTTGGTAACTTTTCTCCTTATCACAGCCCTCTGAGGTAGAAGTAGACTAGGCCTTGAAGCGACTGGAGAGCCAGAAGGGTGTGCAGGGAATCATCATGGTGAACATAGAAGGCATTCCCATCAAAAGCACCATGGACAATTCCATGACCACACAGTACACCGACCTCATGCACAACTTCATCTTGAAGGCACGGAGCATGGTGTGAGAAATCGACCTCCAGAATGACCTTATCTTCCTTCAAATTTGCTCCAAGAAAAATTAAATTATTGTTGCACCAGATAAAGACTATTTCCTGATTGTGATTCAGAATCCAGCTGAATAACCTTCTCTCTAGGGTCCCTGTCTTATTCTTTAACTTAATGCCACCCCAGAAGATTAATTAATCATGCCAATCCACTGCAAGTGGAAATCACCCTAATGACCCACTCACTCCAGTCTACCGACCACACGCAGTCTGGTCGATCCAGCCACCCCATCAGCGGTATCCCTCTGCTGCATCAAATGCTCCAAGTCCCCATGCTGAGGGCCTTCTCTTTTGGAGCTTGAGCTGCTGAGCACCCAACCCACCTTCCTTGTGACCTTCAGTTCACTTGTTCCCCATGGAAAGGCTGTTTTTCTTTCACTAAAAATAACCAAGATGCTTAAAAAACAAAATAAAACCAAAAAATCCAACACTTTTTTCATCCAAAAACTTTTGCTAAAAAAACCAACTTTACCATAAAGATTTAAGTAGTAATTTTGGAATTTTAATATAGGTTATAATAGTTTCAGGGTAATTATAGTGAAATGAGAGAAGTCTTTTGGGTAAAAGAAGTTGAAATAAGATAGGAACATGAGGTATCCATGGCTGATTCACTTATGATCTTTGTTTCTTAGAAACTATGTCTACATAGTCATACTCCCAGATAAGGATGAGTCAGAGCCTCAGATATCTTCATGTCTCAGAAGCTGATGTCTTGAGAAGTTATCTCAGATGAGCCCATGTTTATTTCAAAGATAATTTTTTTGTATGTACACTCATGTTTATTGCTGGGTTATTCTATCACAGATTTTTTTTCCAAAAAATGTCCTTTAATTTTCAAAATAATACAAAAACAACATCACACTATGGTACTAAAAAGCCACAGAGATTACTCTACAGTAAATGAACAGTTGCACAGATCTCAGGAATCAGTGAAACCCAAGGGGTATTCAGGGCAGCGGGGCAAGACAACAGGACAGCAGTGGAACCAGGTGGGTGGGTCTCCAAATAAACAACCAATGGTTGCATTTCCCAAGAAAAGATGTACTATATAATACTATATATATAATATATAGATGTACTATATACTATAAATACAATTATATATTATATAGTAGAATATATATATATAATACTTGAGGCCACAGGTGGTAGTGGGAGGATGTCCTGGTGGGCAGAAGCTGGGGGAGGCTTACCCAGCTTCCTCTCCCTCATCACGCCCTGTACCTGAAGGCTCCCTTACATCTTCTATGTAAGAGAAGGGTCTCCTGCAGAAAGCCAGCTCACAAAGCACTCCTGGCTGAACCTCAAGTCCCCCTTGGGCCTTTGGAGGTTTGCTCAATGCAGAGGGCTCTCTTGCCCTTCCTCAAGGTGGAGACAACAGTGGGCTTCCCAGCTGCCTGTTCTTCCTGGCTCCCTTCAACTCACCCCTTCCCCTCAGTTAGAATTTTTCTGGGGAGGGGCATGTCAGAGCAGTGGGTGGTGGGAATAATGAGTTTTGTGTAGGGAAGGCAGCTTCCAGCCTTCCTTCTGGCTCTGGGTGGGCACATCAGATGACACTTATCTCTTCTAAGAAGCCTGACAGACAGGTCCCAGCATACCTGGAAGAAGGCCCTATGTCTGGGTAGAGGGATCACTCCTCAGGTTGCTTCAGTACACACTCCTCACAGATAATTTTAGAAGGGGACAATCACTTGGCCAACTGGCAGAGATCTATATTTGTTCCCATTTCAAAGAAAGGTGATCTGAACGACTGGAACAGCACATTAACAGAGAACTTGCCAGAAGTGCAGGCTGGATTTAGAAGAGGTCGTGGTACTAGGGATATTTTAGCTAATGTTAGACGGATCTTGGTTAAAAGCAGGGAGTACCAAAGGAATGTCTATCTGTATTTCACTGACTATGCAAAGTTGTTTAACTGTGTGGACCACAACAAACTGTGGCTAACGGAGAAGAATGGAAATCTCAGAACACTTGATCGTGCTTATGCAAAACCTATGCCTGGCCCAGGAGGCAGTTGTCAGAACTGAGCAAGGAAACACTGCATGGTTCAAAATTAGGAAGGGTGTATACTAGGGATGTGTCCTATCTGCATACCTTTTCAATCTGTATGCAGAACAGAATAACCCGGAGGCTGGGCTCTATGAGGAGAAATGTGGTATTAGGATTGGAGGAAGACTCATTAACAATCTGCTTTATGCAGATGACACAACCCTGCTTGCTGAAACTGAGGAGGACCTGAAGTGCTTGCTGCAGAAGGTCAAGGACTGCAGCTTTCAATATGGATTGAAGCTCAATATCAAGAAAACAAAAGTTCTCACAACTGGGCCAATTGGCAACATCATGATGGATGATGAAGAGATTGAGATTGTAAACAGCTTTAGTTTGTTTGGCTCCACAATCAACACTGTTGGTACCAGCAGTCAGGAAATTAAAAGACATATTGCATCAGGAAAGTCTGCTGGCAGAGATTAAAGTACTGAAGAGTAATGATGTCAGTCTGGAGACTAAGGTGTACCTGATACAGGCCAAGGTCTTTGCAATTACTTGCTATGCTTCAGAGAGCTGGACAAAGACTAGGGGTAATAGAAGGAGAATTTATGCCTTTGAGCTGTGGTGTTGGAGAAGAGTATTGAGTATACCATGGACTGTTAAGAGAATGAACAGGTTCATCCTGGAGAGGGTTAAACCAGGCTGATCCTTAGAGGCAAGGATTCTGAAGCTTTGTCTGATATAGTTTGGACATGTTGCAAGGCAGGATAAGTCCTTGGAGAGGGACTTTTTGCTTGGGAAGGTGGAGGGACAGCATAGGAGAGGAAGACCCTCAATGAGATGGATTGGTTCAGTAACTGGGATCATGAAGACAGGGATGTTAGAGACAATAAAATTGCCACAGGACAGAGCAGGGTTTATGGCCATTGTACGTAGGGAGGTTATGAGTCACAGGCAACTCAATGACACATAACAACAACAACAACAACAAAGAATGGAGAAGGCCTCACTGAGGAAAAAGCCCTGAGTACTACATTACTTTCTGAACCTTAGTTTCCCCTTGATGAAAGAAGCAATTTCACAGTGCTGCTTTGAAGATGTTAGATAAGGCGTCCAATAATGCCAGCTCAGAGATGGCACAGATAAACAGTAAATAGACATTATCTTATTTTTATTCAATGTCTTCTTGAGTTTTATAATACATATGATGTATGACAATCAGCCTCCTCAAAAGAACTAGAATTCTTAGAGAGGGAAAATTTATGCAACTACAATTGTAATATTCTCTCACAATGACTCTTTCTAAACACTACATTGAACCCTTTCCCAGGGAAGCACTTCTTGCTAATATATCTCACTGGGACATTACTTTGTTAAATAAGGCTGACTTTACCTTAAAATTCTTCATGTTCCAGGGTGATTTCAAGCTGTCATATTTGGAGCTTACTACCAATAACTCTTGTAACTAGAATTCTTAGGCCATATTTATCCTCTTTCTAGTCTAGAATACTGTTCTTTCTTTACACAGTTGTTAAAAAAACTACCTTAGCCACTCAACAGCGAGGAGACACTTGCTTTGTGGAGAGTACGTAAACACTTTATACTTTGGTCTGACTTTCCTGGATCTTGTGAGACATGGGAAGAAGACAGGATTCGATAGGGTAGATACCAGGTGAGTTTAGAAGGTCTCTATAATCTGAGTTGTCTGGAGACTTGTCCTTGACCCCAAAGTAAGACCAGTGGCTCATTCTTCTCATCCAACTCATAGTGACTCTCTATACAACAGAACTAGACCTTGCCTGAGTCTTCATCATCCTCATAATCTCCACTCTGCTCAAACCCATTTTTGCAATCACTGTGTCAATTCATCTTGTTGATGATCTTCCATTCTTTAACTGACTCTTCACTTTTCCAACCACAGTGTTCTTCTTTAGGGACTGATCCCTTGTGACAATATGCTCAAATCATGAGAGACAAATTGTCACTCACTATCCTTGCTTCTAAGAATCATCTTAGTTGCACTTCCTCCAAGACAGATTTATTTGTTCTTTTGACAGTCTGTAGTATATTCAGTACTCTTCAACACCACCACAGTTTGAAGGCACCAACTTCTCTGGTTTTCCTTTTTCTTTATCTGAGTTTCATGTGCATATAGAGAAACTGAAAATGACATGGCTTAGGCACCTTTAAACTGGCATCCATGCTCTTTAGTGCTTTGAAGATATGTTTGATAAAAGTTTTTCCCAACGCAATAACGGGGGTCCATCAGGGATGTATTCCATCTCCATACCTTTTCAATCTGTATGCAGAACAGATCATCTGAGATGCTGGGCTATATGAAGAGGAATGTGGCATCAAGATTGGTGGAAGAATCATCAACAACCTGCGTTATGCAGATGACACAACCCTGCTTGCTGAAACTGAGGAGGACCTGAGGTGCTTGCTGCAGAATATCAAGGACTACAGCCTCCTATATGGACTGAAGCTAAATGTCAAGAAAACAAAGATTCTCACCACTGGGCCAATTGGAAGCATCAGCATGGATGGTGAGGAGATTGAGATAGTTAACAGTTTTAATTTACTTGGCTCCACAGTCAACACTCTTGGTAACAGCAGCCTGGAATGGTTCTGTATCAACCAATTCCTTTTGATACAGTGACTGTATATCCTTCCATATTTTTATTATTTATGTATTATTCAATATCTTTCACTTAAAATCCTTCACTAGCAGCTCAAGGCATTTATTAGCTCTTCAATTCTTTCAGCTGGAGAAATACCAAGCATGTCTTTTCCTTTTTTGGTTGTCTAACCCCAGATCTTTGCATATTTAATGATAATGTTTTGCTTTGTCTTCTCAAGCTTTGAAATCTTCTGTTCAACTCTCTAAGTTCATCATTTCTTCCTTTTGCTTTAATATTTCTATGTTTAAAAGGGAATTTTGAAGTCTCTTCTGGCATCTATTTTGGTGATTTTTTCTTTTTAATTACATTTTGCTTTCTTCATGTATGATGTCCTCAATATTATCCCATACTTCTCCTGGTCATTAGTGTTCAGTGGATCAAATCTGTTCTTGAATTGGTTTATAAATTCAAGTGGGATAAGCTCAGTATTGTTTTTCTATTCTTGTGGACTTGTTTTAATTTTATTCTATTTCAATTTGAACTTGCACATGAGCAACTGATGGCCTGTTCCACAGTGAACACTTTACATAATTGTAAACATTGATATTGAGTTTCTCCATCATCTATTTCCACCTATGTAGTCAATTTGATTTCTTTATATTCCATAAGGCAAGACTCACATTTAGAGTCATCATTTATGCTCTTTTTAAAAAGATACTTGCAATGAATAAGTCTTTGTTGTTATTATGTGTCATTCAGTTGGAACCAACCCACAGCTGAAACTCCAGCAGGTTTTGAGAGGGTGTAAATGTAAATCTCACGGGAGTAGACTGCCCATCTTTCTCCCACAGAGAAGCTGGTGATTCGAACTGCCTGCTTTTTCATTGGCAGTACAGCTCTTTACCCACTAGGCAACTGGGGCTCAGAATAAGTCTTTAATTGTACAAAAGTATATTATGTGATCTCTAGCTTGTTACTGTTGTTGTTGTTGTTACGTGCTGTCAAGTAATTTGCGACTCATAGTGACCCTAAGTACAACAGCCTTAAACTCTGCTCTGTCCTGTGCCAATCACACTGTCTCCAACACACCCATCCCAATTTCCCCAGTCACTGAATCAATCCACTTCATAGAGGGCCTTCCTCTCCTGCCCTGTCCCTCCACCCTCCCAAGAACGATGTTCCTCTCCAAGGACCAGTCCCTCCTTACAACATGTCCAAAGTATGTTAGACAAAGCTCAGAATCCTTGCCTCCAAGAAACCGCCCAGTTTAACCCTCTCCAAGATCAATCTGTTTGTTTTCCTAGCCGTCCATTGTATCCTCAACACTCTTCTCCAGCACCATAGCTCAAAGGCATTAACTCTCTTTCTATCCTCCCCAG